AGGATTCTCCACCGTCGTACGCAACCGTTTACTTGACGAAGGTGTCCTGCATTCCAGTCAAGCTGTATAGTATAAATACATTACTGCCCGCAGTAGAAGCGTCATTCAGCCATCGATTAGTAAAGCAGTATTTGAGATTCATTCTGTTACTATATTAGGTAAAAATCGACCCTAGAACTAACCCCATGAGCAAACCCAGAAGAACAAATGTTTTTTTCAACCTTTTAATCTTCTACAGATCCAGACAAGTAACAACTCAACCAAAACACAACTAGATATAGAAAAACCATTATAAATCGGTTATTATGATATATTAATCAAAATATAACTGTACACAACTAAATATAGGCAGAGGAAAACAAGTGGAGCTTATGAAGCGTCCTCTTCGTCCACATCTGAGCCAGCAGATCGTTTAGACCTACTTCGATTCCTTCGACTTGACTTCGACTCACTTTCTCCATCATCTGAGTCACTATATTCGTGTCTGTGTCTTCGTTTCCTTTTCTTTTTTTCATGCTTCGATTTCGAACTTGACGGACTGAGTGGTAACGGAGAATTGTGATCATCGCCTTCACCCGTTGGTAATGTTGATTTTTTAGCTGCTCGAGCAGCTTTCCGAGCCCTATAATGAGAACGGAATTATAAATGAACTCAGAACAAGTTATTAATAGGGATACGGCATAAAGAGACGTTTACAGCTTTCGTTCCCGTCTGGCTTTCTTCTTCTGCTCTTTACGGATTTTTTTCATGGTCTTTTCATCCAACACAACATCTGAATTTGATAACTGAGTGATGGAGGCACATAGTGAAACAGAGTCTTCGCGTGAAGCTGAGCGTTTACGGGGAGAACGAATAGGAGTAGTATCAGGTTCAACATTGGTGCGATTTTCGGCACGAGAACTATCATCATGGACAGGAGACACATCCTCCAGAGAACGTCTTGATGGTGATCCATCGCGGAATGGACTTTAGGAAATAAAATTTCAGTTTGAAATCGAACAAAACAAAAAGTATAAATGCAAATTTCAGATAATTAAAATTACCAACCAGAATTCAAAAGCATAAAAATCGATGAAAATCTAAATCGAAGTCATAGGTAACTCTAAATGAACTCGATGAGACGCTACTAACTAAAAAACTGAAATGATAAGCAATACAGTCCAAGAAAAACCTTTACTTGACGGAAGTTAAACGCAACTTTTGATTCCCTACAGCTTACATAAATACATTTCATTATTAAATAATTACTTCGATACAAACTGCGGTTGACAAATATTCGATCAAAATGACCTTAAACAATGCTAGATTCGTTTTAAATTATCAACACAGATTAGTTAAGAATGAATAATCTAATCTCATATCAGGTCACTAGAAAGAACTAAACTAGCAATAAATATTCATAAACAAATCAATTTGGATTCAAAAAAAACTCCACCTTCTTAAACGCGATTTATCCACATTATTCTCGGATCTGCGAGTACGCTCCACTGGAGGTGAAATCTCACGAGAGTAGCCACGTCTGGGAGCGGAAACTGAAGTAGGTAAAATTGGGGAATCATTCCTACGTGGCCTATATGGAGAAGGCCGGTGATGATTTTTTAACGCAGCGGCTTCTCGCTTTTTTCGAAGCCATGTCTCATAATCATCACGTTTTCTTTCTCTGTTTCTATGACGACGATCGGAACCGCTGCGTGAACGATGGCGCCTTGATGTTACTATGGAAGATCTTCTACGAATTCTTCGATCATCTCGATGTCTGCCGTAGTAATCATCTGGAACATCATGTCTATGACGAGGCGATGCCACCCTACACCGCCGTCTTCTAAAGTCACAACAAAGAAGGAAGTACAACTAAAATACAAGCGAATCCCATCGAAACCTTGAAGGTAGGACTCAATTTTCTTACCTTCGTTCTGACTCTTCCGCATACTTCCTCTGAATCCCATAGAATTCCTCCTTTGATAGAACTTTTCCGCGAGCGTCCAATAGTGGATTAAGTGAAGGATTAGGGAATCCACTAGGGTTAATGCACCCGAGTAGAGAGAGCTGATCTATCGGAGCCCAGGGCAAAAGTTGATTCGTGGGAAAAACGGAATTAAGGGGGGGCTGGGACTGACTTACAGAAGATAATGCTGCCAAGCTAGCAAGAGATACAGCAGAGGCAGCATTTTCACTGGGAAATACTAAAGGAGCCCCATTATAAACAGAGGCAACGTTTGACAAATTCGTAATAACACTCTCTGCACCAAGTGAATTATTTCCACAAGGCAAATTGGCTAAGCTATTTGTATTAGAAATAACAGAAGCAACGGTGTCAGAGGGTTTATTAACAGATGAATCAGATTTAACTGTAACGGAAGGTGATGTGGATGGTTGGGAGGGTTTCGGAGAACCAGATTCGGAAGGAGTTTCTTTGGGCTTATCATCTTCCTTGTTCTCCTTCACGCCTTCTTCCCGCTTTTCTTGTACAATTTCTTCATTTTTATCTTCTACATTCTCTTCAGCATTTGAGATCGAGGTTGCCGCGATTTGTTGTTTTGGTTTTAACACTCGGCGGACAATCTAGAAGAAAAGCAAATTTGAGAAGAATGCAAACTAACCTCAGGTTTAACCTCACTCTCTTTGACCTCAGCAGTTGGTTTTGGAGGTGATGGAATATTTGAAATTTCTGGTTTAGCATCAATAAGCAAGAAATCTTCAATAGCACGTCGTAGGGATGTATTTTCAACTATCGAAGACTCCAGTTTTTCCTTTGGTTCACCGCATTTCGGGCATTTCTGATGACCATCAACAAAGCAGTAATTGGTTATGCACTCACTGCAGAATGAGGTACCACAGCAAGTCACCAGCACAGCGGCTTTGCAAATATTCTTGCACAAAGGACACAAAAGTCCCTCAGAAGGGACGGGCTTTTCAGGAGGAACATAGGGAGGATTTTCTTCGATAGAGAAAGGACGCTTTTCCTTTTTACTTTGCAAATAAGCCTCACTAGTGGCATAAAATAGTTTATGGAAATGTGCTACTTACGCATCCTTAATTGGCACCATATAGCGTCCATTTTTGTCTAAATATGCACCAGGAGTGCCAGGCTCAACTCTTACTAAGAAATCCTGAGGAATACCAGTTGGACGTTTGACAGTTTTTGAATCCAAGAGGTTACCCCGGGAATCCTTAATTCCTGGGCATTCGTGTATCCAATGTCCTTCTTGATTGCACTTGTGGCAAACGTAATGCGGTGGAGGAACTCCATATGCTTTTGGTTTTACCGTATAACTAAAGCCATGTTATTCAAAAAGTAAGCCTTACTATTTTGATGAAAGACCTTCGGCTGTTCTGTCGAACATAATTTTGATCTTGTCGTCTTCAGAAAGATTTGATTCTGCCAAATTTGTTGCCGACTAAAAAGATAAAAATGAAAGAAATGGCTTACGTTTGAGTGAGTAATAGAAGAATTCCCAAACTAAAATGGAGGAAAGGCGTAAGATAAATTAAGACTTCATAAAAGAATTAAAAAAATTAACTTACATTCTTTTCTCGGCTAACTGTAACTTGAAGTGGTTTTTTCCTCTGAGATTCACCGTTAGCTTTGGGAACACGTCTGACGATTATACTGGTATATTTTGGAATCAATTCGTTTTCTTTAATATATTCCTTTCCGGAGCCATCCTCCAATTTCAAATCAAAATCCGAAGCACGTAAACAGCACTTTGTTTTTATAGCATTTTTCAAATCCTTAACAGAAATTGCAGAGCCGTCAAACTGAATTGTATCCTGCTTGATGCTAGCTTTGAATCTAAAGTACACCTCTGAAGCCATTCAACCTGGTAGTGAAAACGAAACAATGTCTCGCAATTTAAATGAATTTAAGTAACTTAAACAAAACTGTTTCCCCAACATAATGGATTTTCACTTATATTATTGCAAAAATAGGCTTAAAAATTCGCACTTTAGTATATAGAGCAGTAAAAATCATTACTATTTTCGCATTTTGAAATAATTTCAACTTATATAACAAAGCATTTAAATTTTGAGCTGAATCTCACTAATAAAGATGTCTTAAAATTTTTCATTTAATGAATCTGCCATTTCTAAAATGTCAACTTTAAACTATCACAATTTTTGTGGAATTCAATTCATACTCCCTCTCTTAAATTTATCTTAAAATCTAATTATCCAATATGAATAGCATCCAAATCGTGAATAACAGAGTTTGAGCAAAATTATTCTAAGCGTCTGAAATGGATATTATCCCCATCTTATCTAAGTGCAGATATTATTTTTCATTCCATCGCACGATTGTGCAACCTATGTATTCAATCACTATAAAATTAACCGTGCATTGATCTTACTAAAGTTACATTTTTATGTGACATTTAACTTTGTCAATAGAGTCTCACACTGTTAACAACGCCAATAAAAATTCTTTTACCTATGGATAATATATTTTGTTCAAGGAATTTGGCTTATTTTAATTTTTAAATGAGTGCTTTAAAGAGTCATTCTTCCTATTTATTATACAGCTCGTTACAATAAAATTAGTATATGTTACAATGTATAATTTTAATGCCTCGATAGCATTGACCAAAAATTAAGTGGAGTGTCAGACACTAAAGTGAATTTTCCTTCATATAAAATAATATATATCAATAGTTTTAAAAGATAACAGTCTTTATGAAATCGATAAACACGATTTCATATATATGTGTTGAAGCCCAACATATTTTGTCTTTTCGACTTACATTGAAGGTGAAAAATAAGAATCTTCTTTGAAAAGTTTGCTGTTTATGCTGTTAAAATAGCAAATTCACCAAAATAAATATTCATACTTAGCTTTGACGTAGAAGCAATTAATAGTGAATTTTAATTTTGTTTGATCTATCTGTATGCATAATTGCGTTTGTCCATTGGTTTTATTCAGGTTTCATCTTTATTTAGATTTCCACTCCTTATTCGAGCTCCTGTTTTGTACTTCTTGGGTGTGTTTTCGTCATTTCCTCTTGATGCGTGTCATATTCGTTCTTCTCTGTTTTAATATTATGGTCTTTGGAAGCGTTGGTTCGGGTTTTAGGTGTTCACATCTTCTTCCTGGGCAGTATAAATGTGATGAACCACATATTTTTAATTTGACTCAAGAACCCATTTTTTGTTCTGATCCATCTGGCATCACTAGAAGTAAACTGTTTTGATAAATGAAACATTTTTTAGTTAAATGTTATCCTGCTCCTGGCATTTCATGTGCCGATTTGCTAGAAGCAAATGGAGTGGAGTACTTTTTCAAGAATGTTACCTGTTTATGGACGTACGTAATATATAGTAATTTGTCGCTTTTCTCCTTTAGTAATGGGTACAATCATGAGATAGCTTTACTTCTTTCTATATTCGGAGGCCTTTTTGGGCTGGACAGATTCTATCTTGGTTACATTGCTTTGGGTTTGTTCATCTTATGTTTGTAAACCTCGTCTAGGATCGCTTAAAATGTGGTCAATTGGGGGACTTGGCTTATGGTACTTAGTTGATCTTATTTTGTTAGTAACAGACGTAAGTTTACGAGCACATTTTCCTTTGAACCCTTTATAGTGTCTGCTCATGCATACTTCTTTCTATTTTAGAATCTGCATCCGGCTGATCACTCAAATTTGACTCATCTCTACTATAATCCTCCTTTATCTTACATTCACGACGGTCTTTAAGTCTTTATGCAACTTAACGACTGTGAGGAGGCTCACTTACGTTTCCTTTCTCTTATTTCCTTCATTACTAATCGTGACGTTTGTGCTCAATTACATCTGCACAGTTTCGAAAATTCCTTGTCCTGTGAATTGGAAGTTTGGGCTCCTCTTCTTGCTAACTGTTCTTATCCTGAGGGTGTGCTTTGCTGCAAAAACCTCACCACGCCAATTGGAATTGTTCCCAAAACTCGAGTTCGTGAAACAGACGTAATTGCCCTTGAAATTGACTTTCGTGACCTCTAATTGTGCACGAAATGAGCTCATCGGATTTATCCCAAGAACAAACGAATAATTCTGCTTCACCACTGAAAAGACGTCGTACTTCTGAATCCAAGTCTCCTGAAATCAATTCGGCTTCATACTCTCCCTCCAATACTCAGATTTTGCGAGTGCTCCGTAACGATACTCGTAACAAAACGATTTGCCTTCACGTTAAGTTTAAAGACTCATTGGAAGAAGATGGTATTGTAATATTGCAAAAGTCTCCCTTTCCTAGTGAAGTTTCAGCTCTTTGTTCGGCCAAAATCGGTGCTACTTATGTTGAAGAGAATCCAGATACAGTGACTTCAAATCAGGTTGATTTCCCTGAATGGAAAGTAGAAGACGTTGTAAATAATGATATCTACTATCGTTCCTCCGTAATGACTGGTTTGGAGGGTGTGAATAAAGTCTCCATGACTGTGATTCATCCAGCTGCACCACAGCATTTTGCCAAGTACTCTTCATCAAATCGTCAAATCGTGCAAGAGACACCGAAGGTCTATCAGAGTGTCGTTCTCCCTTTTCTCGAATCCAATCCGAAGGATCTGGGTTGGGTTGAAAACATCCTCAATGGCACAGCTGAAGTTGAACGAGTTTTATTCACTGACGAGGATCCAAGCCTCGGTTTTACACTTGTTTTGGATTATCGTTGGGATGAAAAGGATCTTAAGGAACTTCATGCCTTGGCCCTTGCTAGAGATGCTGGGTTGATGTGCTTGAGGGATTTGCGAGCCTGCCATCTCCCTATGTTGAAGAAGATGCTTGCTGACGGGAGGAAGAGGCTTGTCGAAAAGTACAGTGGTGAAGAGGGAAGAGAGGAATGTTTGAGGCAGGATCAAATAGTAGCCTATTTTCATTATCCACCTACCTTTTATCGTCTTCATATGCATTTCATTCATGTTGATAGTTCAGCAGATGGTGGAACTCAAGTTGGAAAGGCGTATCTGGCAGAAGATGTGATTGCCAATATTGAGTTGAAGAGCGACTATTATGCTGAGAGAACGATTCCTATCTATCTCCATGATACGCATCCATTCCTCATGGCAATTCGTAGAGCGGAGCAAAAATAATCAGTGTTTTTTCCATGCTTTTTTAATAATAATGTCTTGGGCTTAATATTGATGCCTTCAAATTTGGTTGACTTTATTGCATGTCGACGTAAGGGACTCTGAAAGCATATATATGTAAAAATGATGCTGTGGATTGAAGGCTTTCGAGAACCAAGTATAGCGTGTCTATAGTTGAAATCGTGGTGATTTGAACTTTAATGAAACATAAATCTCTCCACTGAAGGTCCTAAGAACCCGATTGGTCTTTTTGAGGATCAGCAACGTACTTCGGCTTTTCCCGAAATTGGAAAACGGGGGGTTGGATCGTGGGTGTATTGGAAAGTAGCAAATAAATGAGGTGAGAGGAGTAGGCAAAGACATGTTGTGATAGAAGAGTGAGAGCTGAAATAGTATCGGAGGGGCTGTTGGTATGGTAAACAGTGGAGCTTACTAGGGGAGATATGACTGTGAGTCTCTATGCACGCCTCTACTGAGGAATTGAGGCTAAGATGGCAGCCTTAAATCAGTATGAGATCACGTTAACAACGAATCGATGTGGGCGTGGAGCGAGTCAATAAAACCAGGGATCAGAGATATTAGCAATTTAGATCCTATGTGTACATTAGCAGCAGTTGTAGTAAGCTCACTGTTCCCTTACACTTCAATGTCGATTGGCCCACCTTTCTCACCCTTGGGGAGCTTAATTTTATTTATACTACTTTGACCTGTATGGAAAATTTACTTTTATGATGAACCACGAGCTATTTTGTGCTTCCTCAGTAGTCTTGCGTTCCATGATAATCTGTCGAACAACCAACAAAATTCACCCGACAATTAGGTTAGTAAAAATTTATGCGTCAACACATGCTCTCGGTGGAAAAACCCAACCTCTTGGCACCAGCTACAATACTTTCGTTGTTTTAGTTGTAGTGCTTTCTTATCACGCGAATTAAAAGACGACTTAGAACTGAAATTTGGTTTATGTGATACAATAAAAGTATCAAACAAAGTAGTGTGTCGTTGTGTGAAAGTAATTATAATATAACTATAATTAAAATTTGGGATGTGCGATAGACTCACCTCCACGTGGTACATCCTGGGCAACGTATACTCTTACGGCAAAAAAGTCTACTAACTGGCAGTTGACTTCTCACTCCAAACTACCATCACCCCACTCTATGCCATATTCGACTACTTTCACAGTAGTCACCTCACCTTTTTCTACCTTCGACTTTGAAAACCCTCTTCTGTCCCCCCCCCTCTCGACTTTTTTTCACTTTGATTTTCCTNTAAAGGGCTAATGATAACTATCAAAAACGCCTGCCATTTGATTTAAATAAATAATTAAAATTTGCCATGCTAGGCCAGCTTAAATCAAATTTATGATTTAGTGCTATGTGGGACGATTATATTTTGTCTTTTAAAGGCGATTAATTTGAGGTAAATGTAAGTGCCGATAACGCAATGGAAGAGAGTACCAATTTCCGTCGCTAATTCACGTTATGTAGGCATCTTACAGTCGACGAAATGTCAGGCTTTCTCTTGCATGTCTAATGGTTGGGAGGAGATAAGTGAATGAACTTCACGTGATAAAGCAACCCTAATCAATTCCATGACATGGTTACCACTTGGTAGGGCTTGCACCCTGAATCATGTCCGTGAATCAAGATATGTCAAGTTCTCCAAGCGAAGAAATAATGGATGAGCTTCGAGAGGTTTTTGCAATTTTCGACCGTGACCACAATGGGTACGTCTCCCTATCCGAGCTCAAATCAATGATGAAACAATTCAATCGAGCCTGTACAAACGACGAGGCAAAGGAGATACTGGGGCATTTGGACACTAATCATGATGGGAAAATAGATTTCCATGAATTTGTGGCTATGATGCAACCACTGCTATCCGAAGATGGCACAGGTGCTGATGTTTACCATCGAGCGGCCTTCAAATTCTTCGACAAGAACGGTGATGAAAGCATCTCAACTGATGAATTGAAACATGTTCTGAAAACACTTCACTTGAAGCTGTCGGACAACGAAGTGGATGAGATGATTAAAGAAGCAGATCTTGATGGAAATGGCTTAATCTCCTTTGAGGAATTTAAAAATATGATGAGAAAACCGCAAACATCTTGAAGTCATTCTCGTTAAGCTATTTATTTACTTTTGCTTTCTTTCTGCTATTTATTTGTGCCAATTATAATTGTGCTAAACGTATTTCACCGTAAATTGTAATTAAGACAGCTGTTTACATTTCTTTAAGTTTTTTCAAAGGTTTAATAGAGGCATTTACAAAGTTTATCTAATAAAAGAGCGTGATTATTATTTTTCTGAAGACCAAGGCCTTGAAATGTCATAGTATATTAATGATGCTAACAAACGAACGTTGTTATCAAAGTAAATAATGTGGTAGCTGTCAACATAAATGCAAATAGTCGTTTACTCTAATGCATTTTTTCGCTTTCATCTTCTACTTCACGGTTGAAAATATATCTTCAAAGGTAAAAGTTGTATAAACTCTCTTCCCATGACGCCGATGGGGTAATTTGTAGCGGATTAGCTACCTCAATAACCTTGAATATTCTCAGAAAGCTCTATAGCAGTTTCTTCCAACTCGAAAGTCCCTGGGAATTAGCTAAGCTAAGACAAAGTTATAAAGGAAACAGACGTGTATCACGTAGTACGTTTATTCAGTACGTATATTGATAGCGAAGTGTGTTTTGGCACAGCGATTAGTTAGCAGATAAATCTAGCATAAGTCGAGTGAACATTAATAGCTAAACATCTCTGAGTAGTGTCCTGTAGCAGGATTTCTATTGGTGTGATGAAGTTTCCCACAAATTCTTATTAATTTTGGAAGTAAGCTCTGGTTACTTATAGTCCCGATGGAATCGGTAGATGGCACAACACAACAAAACCATCACTATTTATAGATACCCTCTTTTATCTTTAATAATAACTTTAAGCTTGTTAATGCCTGTGATTGCCTTAATTTTAGAGACCTGCTCATATCCAGAGGACGAAGACAGATTATTTTTTTTCTTAGGTTCGTGGCGTACACAATCCGCACACTATTTGGAATGTACGGCCATATGTGCATTGCATTGCTCAGGTATTTTGCTTTATGAGTTCACTCAAGTTAAAATAGATATATTTGATAACCAATCATATTTACCAACACAATAATTTTCAATAAACGTTTTGCTGGCAACACGTCTTCCTTCTCACTATCATCGCGGCAACCTTTCCTATTAGGGAGATCTGCCACAGAGATTTCTGAGTTAGTGAACGTTTTATCCGTGTTGGAATCCGCTATAGGATTGGATGGAAATTCACATCCATCCCATCTCTATGCTTTAACCAGCAATACACTGACTGAGACATCTCCATCTCAGATACGAGCAAGCGAGAACGATGCAATTGCAGTTGCGAACTTAGTTCACATAAGAAAAACTGTTCAATCAATACACTTATTTGTGCGGCATCCACTACACTCGACATTGAACGTATTCACGGCATCATAGAGATTCCACTTTCTACAACGTACTTATTAATTATACTTTCAATTGAATTATCACTTTGTAGCCCATATTTACAAATTAATTACATTTTTAAACCCGTCAACAAATATTCGATTCAAAACACATTAGGAGATCAGAAAGTGGATAGTTTCTGTTCATTTTATTCTATTATTTTTTCCAAATATTACTAATTTGGGTATTGATCAATAGGCAAGAATGGGGGTTACTTTAATTAACTTCCGAAAATGAAGGTCTTACTGCAGACTGGACAAAAAACAAAGTTGCATCCAGTAAATTTCTACAAAAAAAGGGAAAAAAGCATATTTAACAAGCATAAATACAGCATTAATTTAAATGATAGTGGGAGTAATGTCAATGATGGTGTTGTGATAAGTAAAAGAGGTGATCATTACAACAATTCTACCAAAACAATCTAGTGACGAGTAGCTTTTTGCTTACGCTCTCTGGCATGTGCCAAATAGATGGATCAGATAGAATGATTTCTTTCGAGGCGCATTGGTCACCCACTCAACTGAATGCGCACCTACAACCAATGATCTGCTCATCTCACACTTACCAAGTGCAAGCACTGACTACTGAGCCCAATAGATACACTTTGGTCATACATATCCTCTATCGTCCCTAAATGAAAAAAATTTCATTGTACTTTTCGATCTGTTTTCAAAACCAATCGACTCTTGCTATTATTTTGATTTGCTAGTTCTTATTACCATACTGGTTTTATTTCGTTTGGAATACATTTCAAAAGTGTGGCAGTCAGCGATGCCAAATAGTGTTCCAACTGAAGAATCACAGCTTTGGAAAACCACAGTTTTCGAAAGTATTCTTATTCTCGGAGGAATTGAAAAATTACTTTCATTCTTCTACCTCTCTTCTATTTCATTCTAATTAAAGTTTACACGAAGGAATACTTACATTTACAAAGAGGCCGCAGTTAGGACACCTGTTGAAATTCATATCCTTGAATTTGCGAGAGACAATTACATCGGAAATGGAGCCAACTCGTTTTGTTATCTTTTCTATCAATTCCCGTCTCCTGATTTTATCACCTTCGTGAGCCAATCTCCAAATTAGCATTGCATTGGTTTCTGTAGGTTCTTAAAAATGCATGTAAATGCGGCTTTTTATCATCAACCACTACATATCCAAATATCGATCTTTTTATTTACGCCAATTCAAAAACCACCCCCCCCCCCTTACTTAATTATTCAACTATTTAACCTGTTCAAATTAAAATAAGTGCAACTTTTTCGCGATGGAACGGATAATGTGACGATATTTTAAACAATGATATCTTCGAAATCGCGAATATTCCACCGGATTGATGAAAGTAAAGTGCTTTATTTAAACAATAATTAAATTATTTTAAGATAATCCATTCATTTATGGAACGTTAGTGAGTACTTTGTTCAGTATGCATAACGGAACAAATAAAACATTTCGAATTATTTTTTGAGGACAGAAAATGGTGATCTAAGAATACACCCTTCTTTTCCCTGTTCTCATCACGAACAATCAAGCATATTGATTTATTTAATAGTTGTGTGTTGCACTGTGTAACATTTTCCCATCTAATCAACTTCAAAGCAACTATTTTCTTCCCCACTATCGGGTCTACCTCATGTTTAATCGCATAACATTAAGAAAAACATATCCTCTAAGAAATGGCCATTTCTTACCAAAAGTTGGAATTTCCTTATCCTCGTAACGGATAAAGGTGAGTGCTTCTGCCTCCACATTTCGATTCTCACCATTAAACTCCTCTTTTACTCCATTATTCTCACTTTCGCGATTAGGTGGCTCGGTAACTTCTAGGATTTCAGGAGCTGGTGCACAGGATTGACCAACGTGACTCAGCCGCAGACATCGTGGACAGAAGGCGTACTGACATACCGGACAACGGGCTAGATTGTCATTGTCGATAAGGCAGATGCTTTCGCATTTCTGGCGTGGACATCGGACTACATCGTTCATTAGAGCAAGACTTCGTTGAAGAAGAAAGTTGTCATAGGCCTGCAGCTTTTCTGGAGTGGTAAATTCTTTCACCTGGAATTGAATTCAAGTAATTTAAGTCAAAAATCACATAGATAAACACAGGAGGAAGAAATAATGATCTTGGCAGTAAGTAGAATACCGTGTGCGCACAGTGAAGCATGCACAACCGCATTCCCTTGTAGCTATAGTTGAAAATAGACACGGCTGCCAGATGTTTGCTTATAGAGAAACATACGGCAAAAGAATGAGGAGAAATAATAACTCTAGGCTATAATAACTATAGTCCCTTGATAAGTGGACCCTTTTTGAGCTATTACGAAATAGTATTCGTCTACTATATCCTCTTAGTGTGGATGCCACCTTAGTTGGCATTTTTACGGTTATGCCTTGAGATTAACCAAGAACTGGTTGAGCATATAACACACACATACACACACGCGCACACACGACTTTTCGAAGGTGGTATTCACTACTTATATAAATAAAAATATAATGCAAAACCGTTTTGTATTCATATGGAACCTCTATATATATGTATATATTTCCACTCGCAAAAGCACCTCGACCAACAAGCAGTTATTTGAAGAGACAAAGAAAATCGTAGTGTGAAATATATATGCAAGGTAGATTACACTAGATTGTGCAATATCTTAAAGTTTTCAGGTCAACATTTTGCAATCATACAGTGAAGTTGATCAGATTGACATTGATTAACTTCAATAATCGATGGGAACGGAGACTTGTTGCCCAAATCGTCTCTCTCTCCCTCTCCCTCTCTCAACTTGAAACAGATACAAGGGGGCGTAGATCTTAACCTTATATAATTTTATAAGCTATAGCGCTCTTTCCAGAAAACTTCAAAAAAACTAAATCAAGGGATGGCTGCATGACTTTGCATTTTTAAACAAATAAGAATTAAATGGAATCGCTATAAGTAGTTAACAAACCTCTTGCAGATCGACAACGTTATCGCATTGCATACATCGGAATACACCAGCCATAATACCTTCATTCATATGTGCCTCCAAAGCAGTTTTCATGCATTCATGGCAGGCAATATGTCCACACCCAACCAACCGTACACATTCTCGGCCAAATTTATCCTCTAAACAGACAGGGCATTCCACTTTCTCATCCATAAAACGCTTCCGCTTCTCTTCAAAATCATGCTCAACCAACACCGTCAAGGCATATTCGCGCATTATTCGAGTTGGAACACACTCTTCTATATCGTAGAGGTAGCTTCCGTCCTCATCTTTGGGAAGGCCAAGAAGTACAGGAATGAGCTGCCATTCGAGAAAGTCAAAACATTCCCACAAGCAGGGTTCACCTTTCTCCTTGGTGTCCAGATACGTGTTCAACTGTTTGATAATCTCCTCAAGACGGTCTGTAAGGATCCAGGTGCATTCTAGAGAAAATGTCGGCGTAGCATTATGAGGGTACTCTGCAGGTAGGGTAAAATGGACCAAAAGGGGCGGAAAATACCCAACTGAGTAGTATTTACAAAAGCCATTATTTAAGCGTATAAATTGCGGCTTGTCGAATGGATGGAGGGTTCTGGTTTGAGAGGAAACTCGAAGTCTAACGTGAACAGAAGGACAGTCGTGGGGTAGTTTTGGATTAACACGATACCAACCAGTATACAAGGAAGTTTTGTTATCTTTTGAGTAATGGAAAGTTCCTGGCTCGCAGAAAATAGTCAAGTTGCTTAACTCCTCTGTCTGCGACATTTACCGGTAATGGCAATTGTATTAGTTGCTGCTGCACCTTACAATCTAGGCAACCAATCAGACCATTGCTAAATTTCTATTGGCCACACCCTTCGACTATCACGTGATTGAATTTTCTAGATGTGGCTCGTCATAGCACGCGACAAGAACTATTTTTTACACAAGTAGATAAGGGTTGGCTGTTAACAAAGGAATACACTTAAAATTTATAATAACCCAATTACATATCAACGAATAAGCATAAGACTTAATTTTTTCTTTCAAAAGGTTTCCATAGAGGTTGCCAATAAGTGCTATATTTTCCTAATTGTTCCATTATTTCGATATTGTGAATTGATTCCATTCTCTGGTACTGCTTCTGCATCAATTGCTTTTTATAGTGTAGAAATTGAGAGAAAATGGGGTTTTCAAATAGGAAAATCTACCGGCTTCGTGTGAATATTTAATGCCATGATTGAAACACCAACACCATTCAATTCTCATCAAAAGGGAAAGGTGTCTGGGGAATAGCACGACTCTAAAGAGTGAGTCTACTTGAAGTCTGAAGTAGATTGTTACACTAATAAGCCTTGATCAATGTTTACTAATCTCAATAGCAAGATATCCTTGTTTGGAAAATTTCCCGAGGCCCAGCTAAGCTAAAGCTAGGATAAAGGGGAAACAGACGTATAGCTTGGAACACGTTTATTTGGACTGCTTCACTGAAAGGGAGCATAGTCATTATGTGCAATTTCGTCTGCATTGACACCGACATGACTACTGATTTCTGATTGGTTGAGGGGTCTTTCAAGTTGTGACCTCATTTGATTCCTAGTGCGATTGGCATCACGGCGTACGTTCCAGTAGATTCGAAAGCGCAAGGGCTTCTTTGATGGGGTCATGCCATCATTGTGTTCCTCACAAGTCAAACTACCTTCATATGCAAAACGCTTTATGCGGAATATTCAACTGAGTGACAGTTCTAAATTATTTGCAAGCGAAGGGTGAAGAATAAAAAAAACACACTTTGATTGGAGTGAATGATATAGGTTTTGAGCCCAACTGTGGACGTTGTTTGAGCTACACTTAGTTTCCTTCCCTCCTGGGAACAAAGAAACCTGTAGCCAAAACGGAAACAAGTGAACAAATTGTGAAATTATTAAGTGCAAAATTTTTTTATTAATTTAAAATAAACAGTGTTCATGAGGATCAAGAGTTTTACCATTCAAGACAAAATGTACGAACACAAATATTATAAAAGCGGGGTGTGCGATAGATTTACTCCCACGTGGTGTATCCTGGGCAACGTATACTCATGCGGCAAAAAGTCTTTTAACTGGCAGTTGACCTCTGACTTCAA